CAATATATCAGGATATATTGTATCGTGACCCCTCTGTCATGATATGTATCATATCGGCAAATTCTTGCCAATACACAGCCCTAGTATTTACTGGGTTTCTCAGCTGGGACCTAGTTCTCCTCAGAAGTTTGTGTAGCCATGTGGAACTAATTACTATCAGGCAGTTACAGCCTTTTATCAGAAACATGCAGTCATGTAGCTCGTTAACTCCTCAAGTAACATTCTGGACATGCTTCCCATAACTGACATTACAGATTATATACTTTTTTCTTTCTTTTTTGTTAGTTGTCCTTCCAGACTAATATCTTTTATTTGTTGTTTTCCTCCGTTGCTCTCTCTGATACATTTAAAGTGTCCCCTGACACATGAAGGCTGCCTTTCCATCTCAGTAGACAACTGATACATCTTCAACACACCTTGTGTGAAATGACTCCTGAGAGAGAGCCCTGCTATACTTTCCTAAATCTGTGTAACACAACAGCAGTTAAGTTTTACATCTCTAATTATTCTGATCAATTCATATGATTAGAAGAGAGGAATGTGGATGAAACTTTCTATTGTTCAATGAATATTTCATGGCTGTGGTGATCTGTATTATCATAATGAATGTTATAAAAAAAAAACATGTCACACTTGTGGATCTAAATATGTCATCACTACTCATAGATAGAAATGCTCCACTTTGATTACTGAATTAAAAGGTCACTTTATTTGGGTCCTGTTTTAAAAAAAAATATTTATTTCTTGCTTCGTGTTATTCTTTGCCACAACMTCTGCAAAGACAGACCCGATATCATATTTTAATTAAATTTAAAAAAGACAATTCTCTTGTTTTATTCTTGCGTCCAGCATTCAGATAACCAACCATAATAATACTAATTAAAAACCTTAACGATACTCATCCCTTATATTTGAACCTTGACAAATGAAAACAGGCCTCCTTCAGACAGAGTTTAGTTAAAAGAAGTTCTGGGTTTTGAACTGTAGTTGATAAATATTTGATGTGGAACAATGGATGAGATGTATTAGTCAGCTCACTGCAGGTTAGCTTACAGCTGAGGCAAAAAAAAAACAACAGTGTAGTAACAGTAATATGTGTTGGTTTTCATACAACGCTGACTAAAATACTCTGTTTTTCCTTCACATGGAGTCACTTGTCTTACCTTACTCTTAGATATGGAATTGGAGTCCTCCTTTAAAGGCAGAGGAAGGAGGTCCTCCTTCCCTCTCTCAAAACCTAGAACACAAAACAAAGCATGAGGCTCAGCTCATAAGGGTCTCCCTGGTTACTAAACCTGTCAGCAGCAGACCACCATGTTGCTCTGGTTTCACACAGATCTGATTCTAAGCACCACTTTGTTAACACACCTAATGACTTTAACAGCATTAATGAGGCAACTTAAAGTGAGGGAAATTAAACAAAGTGAAAAATAAGAGGTTTCACAAAAAATTCAACCTCTGCTCAATTTTCTAATGCACAGGTTTTCAAACTGTGCAAACATGACTGTTACCAACCTGACTGCTTGGACACCCCCAGTCCCCSACTCAACCAATCCACTTAACCAAGAAACAAAACATTCAACATGGTGGCCACTACTAGGTGTAGGATGTCGAGTATGACCTAAAAAAGTATTACGTAAAAATGTCTAGCCTGGAGAGGGACAGTAGCTGTCTACTAGGCCTGCCAAGATTAGTCGATTAGTCGACTAATCAATGACTAATTTAATAATCGATTAATCRTTTTCTTTTTTTTTTTGTTCTTTACTTTGTTTTTCTCTCTAAACTGCTTTGACTCCTTCCACTGCCACATCTGCCTTTCTGTCCTTGACACACATGCACAGTAGTGGTATCTGGGGTAGGCCGTGGACGTCACAAGACATTATACAGACAGGCTCTGGTATCATGGCTATCTGACAACGGAGCTCAAAAGTGTGGGATCATTTTATGACAATGAAAGAGAAACCTGTGCAATATCTGCAGAGCAGAACTTGCCTTCCACAGTAATTATTTTTAGTTAGCATATAGCTAAAATCTAATGATGGTTATAAAATAGCAGCTGCATTCTGGCGCAAGAAGCTGTTTGTTTTATATTCAGTTAACGTATGATCCGATTAGTCGACTAATTAAAATAATAATAATAATCGGTGATTAATCGATTATAAAAATAATTGTTTGTGGCAGCCCTACTGTCTACCAATAAATACATGGACTAAAGATGTTACAAGTGGGCCAGAAATCATGTTTCCAGACACAATGATGGAACTGTTTCTAAACCAGGGAAAACTCTTAAAACAAATCCTGTTTACATCTAAAAGCCTGGACCACTCTGAGGCTGTGTCCAAATTCAGGGACTTCGTCCTTTAAAGGACCTGACCTACACTGGCCAGGTCCTTTGCTGAAGAGCAAAAATTGAAGCACGAGGATACTAATGTGAGCTGCAAAGTGTTTGCTTTTATTTTATTAAATGGTTTGTTTTAACTCAAGGATAGCAAAACCATGCTACCACCGTTCTCTCTTCATCTGTAGAAGTCAACTGTTTATGTGGCCAAAAAAACAAAAAAACAAACCCAAAGCCTCTAATTTGGGTGCAAAAGGAAGTTTTGATTATATTTATTTACCATATTTATGTGTGTATAAAAGCACAAAATGTAACTCCAAAAATCATCCATAATATTGGGGGTATTATCTATTATACTGGAGTAAATTTTGACATTTTTGAAGCAAAGTAGTTGTGAATTTGGATGGTCTTGCCTTAAGTTTTACTCCCGCTCTTACCCCAAGCATATGCCCCGTCACCTGGCAACTGTGACGACGCTAAACAGAAGCAATAAACATCAAAATGAGATCAAATTAACAAAAATAAAAGTTTTTATTTTTTAAATGAACAAAATTAGATTAGAGGCTCGTTTACGAAGATTTGACAAGAATAATTTTATAAACACATCCATGCAAATCACAAAAGCCTACAACACAACAGCTTTAAACCTTGTTATTTTTATACCACCAGATTTTCATTTAAAACTGTACTCCGGTTTCTTGCTTTGTCCGCCATTATAAGCTAAAATATCTCCTGGTCCGCCTGCAATGCAACTTGAGATAGGGTGGGCTGAGAAGGATCCGCCCGACCCATCCCTCAAATCGAGGGAAAAGGAGGACACATTTGTGGGTYGCAGTTGGAGGAATTTTTGAATATGGACAGCCTTCAGTGCGTAGTTTTGATATATTTGGCCTTCGAAGAATGAAGCCCCTGAAATTGGACACAGCCCTAGACTTAAGGAAGCAGGTACACACAAACAATTTAAGTGCTTCATTTTGTTTCTCCTTTTGTGCAAATGAAAATCTTTTTTCTGATCTCATGTAAAGACCATGATCTACGTAAGCACAATTGTTCAAAAACTTTTGAGCACACCATTTCCTGCCAAACCTTTGTAGTGAAATCATGTCTTCTTTTTTATTGCACATGGTGAGTCAAACATTTCAGGACAACCTTTTATTTCAGAAATGAAAGAGAAAMTTAAACATCTGAATATCCCAGCAAGTGATGGGTTAGGGGGCCTATCTTTTAAGCTCTGTCCAGAACATGGCCTCTATCTCAAAAGCTGCCACATTGGGTCAAAGTCAAAATTTTGCAATAGGAACTGGGTCATGCAGCATATCAAAGGAAGACAGAATTGTCTCAGAAATGGATTGCTGCAATCAGATTATTCATTAGGTGGAATTCTGCTGCTACAGTTGACACACAAGATCTTGTTATATGCAAAAGGACAACAAAGCTTTACTCTTTTTATTTGAAACGTTTACTTTCTGATTCCAAAATGCTAATATGATAAGGTTAAGGTTTGACCAAAACAGCAACAACTTTGTAATTTCTCAACCAAAGTAAGACCATCTTATTTTAAATCTGCCATGAAAGGCAGGAGGTGATATTCATATGGGCATTTTYAAAGAAATATTGGGCATTTAATTGGGTATTTAATTAGGCATAAATACTATTTCCAATTTTATTGATTATGTTATATTGTGTACAAATTTTCCRCAAATTACATGTTTGTCAATGCAGACAAAAAAAAAACATATACAAGTTATTACAGTATTAAATGTTCACAAAAACGCTGGAGTTACACAGACTCTAAATGAACAATGCCAGATGGCAGATATTTATTCTATCCTTTGTCATAATATCCAATAATCCAGACTCTTGAAGTCAGTCAGTTGTTAATGGAAGGTGGAAGAAGATGGGATAAATGGTGTAACCAGTCTTAGAAATATTTTGTTCATGTCCTCTACAGAGATTAAAATTGTTTATCAAGGATGATGGTCGACATTTTAATATTTTCTTTTGCAGCTCTAAATAAGTTGTTTTCATCTTGCCTCCATGTTGCGATTTTCTAAATGCTATATATGGTCATCCACACATGATTTCATACAATGACAAATATGAGCTCTGCATTTGACCAAGTGGAGCAGCGGGCAGCTATAAGTGCCCGGGCTCTTATGTAGATGGGGACTGGGTGTTTAGCTTAAGGACACCACAACTTATGGGAATGGTCCCAGGTTGGCTGCCCTACCACTGTGGTGATTTTAACTTAAGTGACTGCTCTTTTACTTGTCTTAATGTCTGACTGGAATCATTTAATAAACTATCAATTGAAGGGACGCTGTCCTCGAGTGCAGCTGGAAACCAGCCACCATCTGAATGAGACATGTTGGTGCCTGGCTGCTATAAGCTCCGGATGTGCACTGGTGTCAAATGTTGGTATAAGATGTTCCATATTCCACTCTGCAGTGTCACAGTGTGTGGGTGTGCTTGCTGAATCTGATCCAAAGAAATTGCAATAAAAGTAATTACCAACCACCCAGATGAATTTTTTTAAAATGTAGAATAAAGCCTTTTTATTTCACAATTAGTGCAGATGAATATGATCTTAATTACGAAACATTAATTACTCAAAAGCAAGCAACAGATTTCCGACCGAGATCACCGCAGTTGGTGACGTTGATGGTTTTTACGAGGACAGGGGGCCTGTAAATATTTTATAGCTTCTGTCTGCTAACCACAGGCCATCAGTATTCAGCTCCGAGACTCAAGGAGCCACTGCAGAGTTTTACTTCCAAATGTCAGATTTGTAATCTGGAACAGATTCAGTAAGTGAGACAGARGGTTTGGGAGTAACATGCAGCAAATGGAAGCAGGTCAGAACTGAATCTCATTTTACTGAACACACATCTGCTTTAGAAAAACCTTGCTGCAAAAACAGGTCATTCTTAAAAGTAAATAAACACTTTTAATTCTAAGGATTTTCTAACCAGATCTTAAAATTAGGTAAATGTACAAAAACATCAGTATGTGAAATATTTAACATTATAATGGCAATGCCAGAGGACAAACATCAGCAGTAATTGTAGCTCATCATCCTACAGTAAGAACATCAAAAGTGAAAAACATTCAAAACAGTGGTTTATCTTCCCATAAATTGAGTCGAAAAAGCTCCTTAGATGATAAGAAAAATATCTACAAAATCAAAGAGAAGCCCAGTTTCCTTTGAATTTATTAAAATCATCAGGAAGACTGAACCTTCAACAACATATTCCCCAGAGCGAATCCCAGCAAGTTCAGTC